ATCTGAGCTCGGGTTCTTGAGGGGCCAGCACAGATCCACCAGCTCCCCCCGGCCTTAGCAGCACTGGAGGGTGAGCACTAATCCCAAGAGGGGTTCTCTGGTTTGCAGGAATCTGAGGCGGATCCGTAAGTGTCAGCGTGGTCGGGAGCAGCAGGAGAAGGAAGGGAAGGAGGGAAACAGTAAGAAGTCCATGGAGAACGTGGAGAGCTTGGACAAGCTGGAGTGTAAATTCAAACTGAACTCCTATAAGATGGTGTACGTGATCAAATCGGAGGATTACATGTACAGGAGGACTGCTCTGCTGCGAGCTCAGCAGGTAGGAGGGAGCGGAAGACCTGGGGTGGGCACCTGGTGTTTCCCGGTACCTCTTGCTCCCAAAGTCAGGTGGGGAGAGTCAGATGAAATGTCCTCGGGGTCCCAGGCGGAAACGTTCAGCAATCTTTGTGCTGCCGGGAGGATGGTGTGCTATTACGTCCTCCCGAGATGCTAAAGATCTTCTGAACGTTCCTAAGATGTAATCCTGTCTTCTGCCTTTTGCCCTCACCATCCTCCCACCTCTCCTCCCTTTTCTCCAGAGAGCTTTGTTACGGTAGGGCAGTGGTTTCGGCTGTTAGCTCTCAGATTTCTTCCAGGAGGCATTTCCCCTGGGCAGCAGTCCCCCTGCTTTAGGGAAGACCCATCCTCTGCATGCTGTCGTGGTGGCTTCTGAGAGCACGTGGTGGCTTCCCCAGAGAGAAATTGATCAGGGTGCAGAGCGTCAAAACGCTTTCTGCCCCAGTGCATCCCCCTGGGCACCATCCCTCGGCCTTTCCTGTCCCCACAGTCACTGGGAGTGGGAGCCCTCAGGTCGCTCCGCATGGCAGAGCCCCGCAGACACGCGGCAGCGGCTCCACGGTGCTGCTTTTGTGGCAAGGATGGGCACAGGGAGGTCCCGGCTGCAGGAAATTCCCAGGAGTGCCCTTCCAGGGCTTCGAAGTCCCAGTCCCAAGGAATGATTTGGGTGGAGAAAAGTGATTTGGTGCTCATTCCCTGACACTTTTGTCATCCCCTGGGAATATTCCTGCCCAAAGGAGAAAAATAGGGAGCTTTAGCAGCGAGCTCCAGTTCCAGCATGGCTATTTAGTCTTGGAGTTTAAAGTACTTCACTCAAATTTCATTATAATCTACAGAAAACAAAATATTAAGCAGAATCCCGTTGCTTAGAATGTCAAAGTGAAAAATGCCAGATCCCAGAAAAAGTTGCTGGCTTAAGCAGCCAGAAGCAGAGGTGCCTGAGAGGCTGTCAGCAGTAGTCTCTTCTGTAGCTGCAGAAGTTTGTTTTCAGTTTATTATTTTTTTTTTCTGAGCAAAGTACTGACCACTGAGAAAATTCACTAGGAGATGAGGGAGTGGGAGAGGTGTGCGCTGCTTCCTGCCCAGTAAATCATCCCTCCGCAGCTCGGCTGGTCATTTAGTTAGACTTAAAAACAGCTGCTCTCACCCGCTTCTTGCTGATGTAGTACAAGTAATGGTTTTAATTAATTCTTTGTAGTTTTGGTAATCTTGTATCCACATCAGATAAGAGTTCTGTTTCAGTAGTGAGTCTTTGAAGTACCTCTACTGAGGATTTTTATCTATCCCATTCAATTTGCCCAAAGTTTGAGAAGTTCTCTCTCAAGATGCTCTGTGCCATCACAGAGAAACCCAACATGAGTCAAATTCATGAACTTTTAAGAATATGTCATGAAGCAAAGCCTCCCAGAAGACTGCTGAAGGAGCTGTAGAAGCTACATGTTAGCTACGAACTTGTTGGCCTTAATGGTTAACACTCAGAGAGGGGCAGTCCTTTGGGAGGAGAAGGAAAATAATAAAATACATCAGTTTTAATCTTGAGGGTTTCATTATATTTACTGGTTTAAATTATGATCGTAGTCACGGTTTTTAAACCAGGGTTTTAAACCATCTGTCCTGGATTTGACGTTCCCTAAACAGATGCTGTGACTAAGAACGCGCGCGCTTCTTCCTAGCGTGCTGCTTTTGTTAAGCCAGCGCCTCTCAAGCGTTCTTCATTTTCCGTTGCAATCGTGTTGCCAGCACGTACAGTGCCTGTTGAGCTGACCCATGGCGTGCAGGGCTCTGCTTCTCCCAGCCTCTGCTTGTGTGCTAGCTGCTGAAGGGGTGACGGGGGCAGCATCTTCATCTTCCCCTGCCGTTAGCAAGGGTCAGTGTCTGTGTTCCCAGCTCCCTCGGGCGCTGTGCCCCGCGGTTGTGTTGACTCGCAGCCTGGTTCCTCTGCCGAGAGCTGTGTTATGCTGCAGCCCGAGGGCTGGAGCCGCCTCCTCGTAACACCTCTTCTGTTTCTGCAGTCCCACGAACGAGTGAGCAAGCGGCTGCACCAGCGGTTCCAGGCCTGGGTGGACAAATGGACCAAGGAGCACGTCACCCGCGAGATGGCAGCCGAGACGAGCAAGTGGCTCATGGGCGAAGGGTTGGAGGGCTTGGTGCCCTGCACCACCTCCTGTGACACAGAGACCCTGCACTTTGTGAGCATTAACAAGTACCGTGTCAAATACGGCACGATATTCAAGACACCATAAACGCCCTGGGCCAGGGAAGCTCCCGGGAGATGTGTGTGTGTGCGTGCGCATCAAGGAAACGAGGAAGATGCCTTTCTCCCCTCACTGTGTATCTCCGTAACATGGCCACCTGACTAGTGCGTGGCTGGTACAAGCTGTCACCAGCGGGATTTCTCTGTAGGATCGTGGCTCTCCACCAGCGCCTGCTGGGACCCCTGGCCGCCGGCCCCTTGACTTCAGCATGCGCCCCGGAGGGACGGACCCTCCTCTGAGCCGAGCGGTCCCAGAGAGACACAACGAGCTCGTACGCACCAGCAGCGGTGGGGCTTAACTCCCCGGCGGCCTGAGCGGCGAGGGAAGAGAAGCGGAGGAGGCTCTGCACCACCCTGACGCCTCGGTGGTCTTCAGATTTCCTTGCCTGGATGTGTCCCAAAGCCCAGAGGTGCCCGTCGTGGACTGGATTCTCCTCGGCAAGCAGGCTGGGCTCCCGCGGGGGGTCCCCGGGCACTCCGGCCTCACGGAGCGGCCCCTCGGTCCCTCTCACTTGGCTCTCTCCTCCCTCCCATGCTGGACTCAACCAGTGCAGATCGGTCTGTCCTTTCTAGTGCCAGTGGAACTGTTTTTTGTACCTGCTTGTTTACTAGTCTCTCCTAGTGCCATGCACCAGCTTTTCACACACATGTACGTACACACACACAACAGAGAACAACACAATTTTAACATGTTCCCCTCCTTTTTTGTAAATAAATGTACAAATTGTCAATTTTTGTTTTTTTTTCTTTTTTTTTTTTTTTATTAAAGGAAGTATGCTTGATGTGCTAGCATAACTGTACTAGCTTCTTGTGTACCATAGTACCAGGTGGCTTGAGAATTAGTACCGACAGACAGACCTACGAAGACATTTATTACACTTTTTACCAAAGGGAGTTATCATTGTAGTGCTTTTGTGTGGAAACTTTTTTCTCCTTTTTTTGTAAATAAAAACGATGTCTTTGTTCTTACTGGAGGAAGACGCTCGCTCACCCGCAGCCCTGTCCCTGGCCCGAAAGGCGCCGTGCAGCGTGCGCTTGGGGTGGGGAAGAGGGGGCACGTCCAACCGCTTGGCGATCGGCTCCACAATCCCGGAGGAGGAAGCAGAAGCAGTGCGTGTGTTTTGCGGTTAATGCAACCAAGGTATGAGCAGTCTGTTGAGATATATAAATATATATTATATAACTTTTAGTTTATTTATTTATTTATTTATTTTCTCCCAGTGGATAATTTTTGTCCACTTAAGTCTTCCAGCTCCAAGGACCTTCGATTTTGGGAAGTGTTGCTGAGCTACGTAGCTGGGGCTGATTGTGCTGGTGTATTTTTCCCTCTCAGTATTGAAGAAAACATCCTCAGTACCAAACCAGCCTTTGACTGAGCTGCTCCATGTGTGCGTTTGTGTACGCATGCAAGAGAAGGCCGAGGGGTGGAGTGGGTGTCAGTGCATTTCACTAGTGAAATCCACATGGGGTATATAAAAGTATAGAAGTTTAGCAGCTATTTAAACACAGGAAAAGATTTTGCTTTTAAAACAAAGTTGGCATGGACTTCGTAAGCCACACCAGACAACTGCGCTATCTATCCACCTCACAGGAGGCAGTTCTTGCACAAACCAGGCTCTAAGCACACTAGATTTGCCCCTGGTGTTTTGGAGCGGGGTTTTGCTGCTGCTTTAACCTCTGCCAGGGCTTTTTGGGGTGGGCGGGCAGAGCTGGGGCAGCGGCTGTGTGCTGAGAGGGGGGCTGCCTGGGGGCACCCTTGGGGGCTGCAGAGCTGAGGGGTCTGTGCAGGGCCCTGAGGGGTTGAACTCATGTGCAGGCACTGTGCAGAAGGCAGATCTGGCAGGAGCCACCTGAGGAGAGGGAAAAAGGGGGAAAAAGAGAGGAAAGAGCATGGGGGGGAAGAGCTCAGTGGGGAAGAGCCCAGGGTGACCACGCAGTGTTTGTTAGCAATAAATTACCCACTTCATTCCCTTCTAAAGTATTTGGTTTAGCATCCTACACACTTAATCCCCCCCTTTTTTCCCCCTGTGTATGCTGGAGGTGGGCTGGAGGCAAATGTGGGGGGCTCTGGGGGCCTTTCCCTTCCCCAGCTGTAAAATGGGCGCAGCGCTGGGGCTGCACCTGCACCACGGTTTCAGCCCGGCTGGGAAGGCCCCACCCAGTCTGTACCATAACTGAAAAAAGAAAAAAAAAGGAAAGAAAGAAGGAAAAAAAAAAAAAAAACAGAAAAAAGGTTTATTTTTTATTTAGTGTTTCTCTTGTGCCTGTGCGATCCTGCCTGTCCATTAAACCAGCAGGGCTCAGCCCTGCCTACTGCCACTTCCTCATTCAGAGGGGGGACCCTTAGGGGCTGGAGGCGAGGCTGCGGGCCTCGCCGCCCCCTCCCGGTTAATTACAGCCGCTTAATTGCTTAATTACAACCGAGGGGAGGAGGAGGAGGGCGCAGGCGCGGTGGCAGGGGGTGCCCGGCATGGCGGCGGGCGCCATGTTGAAGCACCGGCGGACGGCGCTGGAGCGTGTGGAGAAATTCGTGTCCGCCGTGTACTTCACCGACTGCAACCTGCGGGGCAGGTGCGAGCCGGCCCGGGGGGCTCCGGGGGGGTGCCGGGGGTGCCTGCCCCGGCCCCTGTACCGTGCCCCGGCCGTGTCCCCGCAGGCTGCTCGGCGCCCGCTGCCCGCCCACGGCGCTCTCCTGCTTCCAGAGCCCGCTGCGCCTCCCCTACAGCCGGGCCGTGGGGCAGCGCTTCCAGCCCGCCGCCCTCGGGGACTCCTTCGGGCCTCCGTGAGTACTGCAGAACAGCACGGGGCCGTGCTGGTGCTGCTTAAAACAAAGGTGGTTCAACGCGGGGCCAGGCAGTGCTGTCACCCTGACACGCCAACCATGCGGTGTCCCCACTGTGCTTCGTCTGAGGACGAGCGGCTCCCCTCAGGGGTGCTCCCCTCAGCTCCCCGCAGCGAGGTGAGGGGCTCCGTGCTCTGTTTCCAGGTGGGAGACCTGCTGGTTCAAGGTGGAGCTGAGCATCCCCCCGGAATGGGCAGGGCGAGAGGTGCACTTCGTCTGGGAGAGCGATGGGGAAGGCATGGTGTGGCGGGACGGCCAGCCCGTGCAGGTAAGGAGGCGCGGAGCAGGGCCATGCGGAGCATTCACCTCCCTCACCCCTCTGACGGGACAGCAGGAACCCCCTCCTGGTCGTTACACGCTCTTTGGAGTGATGCCTGCAGGGGTTGTGGCAGGGGAATAAGGTGTGGACAAGAACAGCTGCAGGCCTGGACGAGGCGATCGTGAGGAGCAGCATAAAGAGGATGTGTAGTTGTAGGGTTGTTCAGCTTTACTCTGTAAAATAGGTAAATAGCAAACAGGTGAGGGGGCAGTGTGTGTGTAGGAGCTAGGACGGGGCAGGGTGAGGCTCAAGGTTCACCTGCTGTGCTTCGTGGTGGGCCACAGAGGGTCCAGGAGCTGTTTCTGAAGTTCAGTCCCAAAAGTCAAGCTGCTGGTGTGTTTGAGCGTTTCCTAGGGGCTGACTCCTCACCAGGAGTTAAAATTCTGGTCTGCAAAGTAGTCCCAGCGGGAAATCCCTTGCTTAGGCATTATCAGATGTCTTGCAAGACAGGCAGGTGAGCTCCGGGCATGAGTTGTACATCTGCAGCGCCAACAAGAGTAACAGGTCGGGCTCTTGGCAGGACTAGCACAGGTCAGCTGCAGTCCTGCAGTTTCCACGCCGGTTGTTCTGTGGGGAAGCAGGGCCCTACAGAACACGGGACCCCACCCCATGTGTCCAGCTGCTCTGTCAAGCCTGCTGTCGTGGGCTTGTGGGCTGAACGTGCTGCCTTCCCCTGCAGGGGCTGACGAAGGAAGGTGAGAAGACCAGCTACATCCTGACAAGCTGCCTGAAGGAGTCGGAGCCCCACAGGTGAGCGGTCAGCCTGGCTGCACCCCCTTCTGCCGGGGGATCTTGGACTTCTGGCAGCCACGAGACCCCCAGGCCTGCATCGGGGTGTCCAGTGGGTCTGCCAGGAGTTAGGATTGGGGTCCTGCTGTGGGGTGGGACTGAGCCTCCCCAGCTGCGTGCTCGTGGTCTGTGCCCTGATGGCTGTGTCCCCGTGTCCGCAGCGTGACGCTGTACGTGGAGCTGGCCTGCAATGGGCTCTTCGGGGCTGGCAAGGGCACCATGATCGCGCCTCCGGACCCTGACAGAAGGTTCACCGTGAGCAACGCTGAGCTCGTCGTCTTCAACAGGGATGTCTACGAGCTGCTGGTGGATCTGGAGATACTGCTGGACATGGCCCAGGTCTGTGCACCCGTTCTGTCATCCTTCCCACCTCCTTCTACAACTCCTTCATTTTATCCGCTGCTGCTGCTGCTGTTCCAAGACCTGTCCTCCCACCAGGAGGCTCTGGAGGAACAAGTATTTGCTCCTGCTGCTTGAGCTTAATTGATGTTGTCTAGAGCGGGAGAAAACCAAACGGGGAGAAGCCACAGGTGGTTGTTTCACCTGTATCCTGTTCCAAAACAGGATCTGTTTGACCAGAGCACTCTGTAATTGGTGTACGTGTAACCTGGCTTTAGGAGTACACGTGCACAGACGTCAGGCTGTGTCTGGGGACATGGTGTGTGCCTGGCACCGCTGGCAGCGTCAGGTGCTGGAAGGAGGCAGGAGGTTCTCCCCGGGGCGAGTGTGGGTGCAGAAAGCTGTCCTCAGCTCAGAGTCAAGCTGTCCTCCTCCCAACCCCAGCTCCTCGGGGAGGAAAACCAGCGGAGCTTCCAGGCGCTGTACGCTGCCAACCAGATGGTGAACGTGTGCGACGTTACTGACCCGGCCACCTTCCCTGCTGCCCGCAGCCTGGCGGCAGCCATCTTCAACCAGAAGAACGGCGAGAGCCAACACACCATCCACGCCATGGGGCACTGCCACATCGACTCCGGTGAGAGCAGCACGGCGTGCCCTCCCTGCTGGCTGCCCCCGAGCTCCAGGCAGCGAGCCCCGAGGGAAGGGAAGGGGCTCTGTACTGCTACACAGCCGGTTGGATTGGGCACGTCTGGCTTGCTGTGCCCCTGCTGCTGAGGGCTGGGTTACAGACCACCTTCTCCTGCCTGTCAGACTTCAGCCTTCAGTTTTCAGTCCCTGCAGGGGGCTTCGGTCTCAGCATTTCCCTGCCTGATCCTTGAAGGGCAGCACAGCTCCCAGAGGAGCCTTTAGGTGGGTATTTGTGCTGAGTGATAACTGCGCTGGGGCTGTGTCTGTCCCTGCAGCCTGGCTGTGGCCGTACGAGGAGACCATCCGCAAGTGTGCTCGGAGCTGGGTCACGGTTATCCGCCTGATGGAGAGCAACCCCGAGTTCACCTTCGTCTGCTCCCAGGTGAGTCCTCTCCCTCCGAAACGTCTGGGTCAGGAGGGGGTTGCTCTGGGCAGTGTCGGAGGTTGTTGCCAAGCTCTCTGAGGAGCTTTTCTTCTGCTTGCGGCGTGCTGCTTCTGCAGCGTGACTCCAGACAAGAGCAGAGGTGACCGGCAACACCCCGTGCAGAGGCACGGTGGGAGCTGAGACTGTCCTCTGTGCTCTGGCAGGCGCAGCAGTTCGAGTGGGTGCGGAGCTGGTACCCGGGGCTCTACGCCCAGATTCAGGACTACGTGGCAAAGGGACGGTTCATTCCTGTCGGCGGCACCTGGGTGGAAATGGTGAGAAGTGTGGGGAGCTCAGCGAGCCCTTCCCGTGCCATCCCTCTGGGGCCCGGCGCTGGGATGGGGCACAGCAGGGCCTTTGCTGCCCCTGTCTGGTCGGTGGTGAGCCTCTGTGCGTGGTGTCTGGCCCTGTAAAAATACCGTCCCTCTCCCGAATCGCTTTGTTGCCTTGCTCCACCCAGAAGCCCTCAGGGCTGCTGCCCAGCCCCTGCTCTGCACTGCCTCGGGTTCTTTCCCTTTTGTTTGTCCAGATCCTCCCCGGGCAGGGTGACAGCGGGTGGGAGTGGGGCTGCACCCAGGAGCCCTCTCCCGGTGCCTGGCTCGGTACCTGATGTGCTCTGCCCCCAGGACGGGAACCTGCCCGGCGGGGAGGCCATGGTGCGGCAGTTCCTCCAGGGCCAGCGGTTCTTCCAGGAGCAGTTTGGCCGGATCTGCTCGGAGGTACCTGCTCTTCTGCATGCTGTCTCCTTCCACCCCTTGCTGTGCTCGGGGGTTTCTCGGTGGTTCGCCTTCAGAGGGCACCTCTGGGTGCCTCACGTAGCTCTGCTTTTGGCAGCTAAAGCTGTGATGAGTGAGTGCCCAGTCCCCAGCGCGTCCTGCCAGTTAGCACAGGGTTAGGAGTCGGTGTCCCTTGTGCAAGAAGGGCTTGGGGCCTTCCTGCCAGGACACCCCAGCCGAGCTCAGGCTGTGGTGTGTGTGACTCGTGTGTTTCTCTTCCTCTGCTCCCAGTTCTGGCTCCCGGACACGTTTGGGTACTCGGCCCAGCTGCCCCAGCTGATGCGTGGCTGTGGGATCGGGCGGTTCCTCACACAGAAGCTCAGCTGGAACCTGGTGAACGCCTTCCCGGTGAGCGGTGCTGGGGTCTGTCTGCAGGCTTCACCCCTTTCTTCCACAGCCAGTCGTTCAGCTCAGCAGACACAGGCTCTTCTCCCAAAAACTCAAAGCTGGGACCGGTTTATGGTGGTAGCAGTGTCCTGCTGGGCTTTAGGGGAGGGGAACGCAGTGATCCCAGCTTAGCTGCCCATAACTGCTGCCTCTGGGTGTTCTTTTGCTCCTAACAACACCCCAGACAGGAAGCTGTGACCTGTCTGTGTGGGCTTCTAGTGTACGAGTTCCGCGTTGAGGTGGTTGAAACGTTCCCTGTACACACCTTTGTGGGGGAGATCAGTTTGGGAGCCTTGAGACGCTGAGCGAGGGGCTAGTTCATGGCTCACTGGCTCTGGCACGAGCACAGATTTCTTTTTGGGAACTCCTGGGGATGATGGGCTGTGTTTTAATGCTGTGGGACAGGGAGGCTGGTAGAGACACCGCGCTTGTCTTTGTTTCCCCTGCAGCATCACACCTTTTTCTGGGAAGGCATTGATGGTTCCCGAGTGCTGACCCATTTCCCCCCTGGTGACTCCTATGGGATGCTTGGGCGAGTGGAGGAGGTGAGTGGGGCTGCCAAATCTGCACGTGAAGCCCAATGCCAGCCTCATGGGACCAGATCTGAGGCTCCTGGGGGAGGGCACTGCCTGGGAAGGGAGTGGGGATGCTGGACGAAGGATTTTAGGGTTCCTGGCAGTCAGGTGCCTGCCTCTGAGATGTGTCCGTGCCTGATTCCTGTGGTTTGGGGTGAGGAAGAGGGCCACGGCCGGACTTTGCACCCCAAAGGCTGGCACAGCTCTCTTGTGTGGAGCTATGGGAGCTGGGGCTGGGTACTGGGAGAGTGTAGCTGTGCAAAATTCCTTCTAGATGCTGAAAACAGTGAAGAACAACAAGGATAAAGGACGTGTGAACCACAGCGCTGTGCTCTTTGGCTTCGGAGATGGAGGAGGGGGCCCCACGCAGAAGATGCTGGACAGGATGAAGAGGATGCGTGACACAGACGGGCTGCCGAGGTAAGAGAGCTCCCTTCCCCTTGCCTTCTGCAGGCACAGAGCTCGTCACAGCCTCCAGAGGGTCCCACTGCTTCTGCCAAAGCAGCTGCGTCCACAAAATGCGGCTCAAAGCTCTGCCAAGCCTGCTTTGGGGAAAACTCATCTGGCAACAAGGCAGGGTGTCAGCCAGCTGCTGCCCCTTCAGCAGGACCCCTCACCACTCCGCTGGCCCTGCCTGCAGTTTGCATTTTGGGGGAATTTCTGAGCTGAAGGTTTCCTTTGCTTCCACCGTGCTGTGGTGGTTTACCCCTCTGTCCTCAGCCATCCACAAGCCACCCCTTTGAGATCTGTTGGGGTTTCTGGTGCCTCACTTCTGGGCCTGTCACCTTTCCTGGTGAGGATACAGCACTAGCTGCTCGTGTGCTTCCCTCCTGACCTGTCGCTGTCTGTACCTCCCTCCCCCAGGGTCCAGATGTCCACTCCTGACCGGCTTTTCTCTGTCCTGGAGAAGGAGTCGTCGCAGCTGTGCACGTGGGTGGGCGAACTCTTCCTCGAGCTGCACAACGGCACGTACACCACCCAGGCCCAGGTGACTGCGGGATGCAGGCTGCTCGCAGTTCTCTTTGCCCCTCTGCAGGCAGTTCCAGGGCTCCCTTTAGGTCTTGACTGTGGGAGCCACATTGTAGCCAGGCCTCCCCAAGCCAAAGCTGACTGTCAGTCTTTAAGCAGACTTTTTTCCAAGAGGGAGAAGGAAGCCAGGGCCACCTTGATCTATAACTGCCTTGTCCTGTGCTTTAGCAGGGCCCTGATCATTACAGAGGTGGGGTGAAGAGGAGTAAGGGGGGGAACAGACAGGAGGAGCCTGGCCTGGCATTAAAGTGTGCTTTGTGCTGGGAGTTGTGGGGCTGAAAGCCAGGGTGACCTGTGGAAAAAATCCCCCTGGTGCCAGCAGCTCAGGACACCTCCAAGCCACCAGCCTCCTTGTGTGGAGCTGGGCCTTTTGCTGCTGGTGTCAGCGATCCGCTCGGAGCTCCAGACTTCCTAAGGATCTTCCTTCTCTGCTTGGTTGGCACTAGATAAAGAAGGGGAATCGGGAGTGCGAGCAAATCCTCCACGACGTGGAAGTTCTCAGCGCCTTGGCTCTGGCACGGGACAGCTCCTTCCAGTACCCTGTCAGCCAGCTGCAGCGGCTCTGGAGGTGGGGGCACACGCGAGCACTGACGGCTGCACACACGCTGCTCCTCCAGCCACTGATCGGGGCTCCACCTGGAAGGGGTCACAGTGTCTGGCTTCTTCCACTGAAATCCTCAAACCCTCACTCCAAAGCCACTGGGAGCTCCAAGCTCTTCCTGCTCTCCTGGCTGGAAACTTCATTTCCAACCCAGGCCTATCCTTGGCCAGTTTTGGCTCGTCTGAGCTTGTGCAGCAATATATCTGCTAGCCCCAAGGGATTAAAACAGATAGCTCATACTCCCCATGGCTGTGGTTTGCTAAGATGACAGCTGACAAGTCCTAACATAAAGGGATTTAAAGGGTGCTATGCAAAAAATCTTGTTCTCCCAATTACTTCCTAGTGGGGGCACAGGGAACAGTTACTAGGTTTGTCCATCTTGCAAGCAGGGCTTGGTAAGCTCCAGCAAGCCTGCTGCTCTCCACAGAGCCTTTTCACATCATTCTTCTTTTCTGTTTTAGGTTGCTGCTGCTCAACCAGTTCCATGACGTGCTGCCAGGCAGCTGTATCCAGCTCGTGGTTGAGGATGCCCTGCAATACTACGCAGGTGAGCAGGGATTTGGGCAAGGAGGATGCTTAAACCTTCTGGAGCACACTGCCTCTTGCCTGGTGCAGACGTTTCAGTCTTGGATTGCCTGGCACCGTAGGCTGAACCTGTGCAGGACAGTCATGTGTCAGTAATTGTGCTAATTGGGCTGGGGAATTACCAAAACGTGCTGATTACTGAGTTTTTGCATGCTATTTGCATGCCAGGAGAGACCCCAGCAAAGGTGGGAGCTGAAATCGGCTCCTTCGTGCCCAGGAGCAGTTACAACATCTTTTATTACAGCTCAGCAGTTTTCCAGCTGAACTGGCAGAGATCCTTGTAGCCTTGTAATAACAAAGTTAATAATTGTAAACTTTAATTGCTTAATAGATAATATTAATTAATATTAAGAACAATTAGTAATTGTAGCTTGGAAGTAGCCAAAGTATGTGTACATTGCACAGGAACTCCAGATAGGAGAAACTACCTGCCTGGGCCGAATTCAGGCCTTTTAGGTTATTTTTAAATTTTTTCTTCCCCTCAGAGATCCGCAGGGCTGGTGCTCAGCTGCAGGAGGAAGCTGTGCAGTCCTTATGCGGGGACCTGCTGCAGCCCGAGTCCGGGCACACTGAGGGCACCCTCGTGCTGAACACTTTGCCCTGGGAACGGACCGAGGTGATCTCCAGGACTGGGCCAACCGGAGCAGACGTTTTAGGTTTGTCTAACACGGGGGGGGAGCTTTTGTAGCTGAGCATCTTAAAAGAGCGTGGGTCTGAGGATGTTGAAGCAGAGCCTCTTTCCTTTCCAGCTCTGGTGACAGCCCCCAGCATGGGCTACATGATAGCGAGGGAGCCGTTGCCACCCCTGCAGCCCGTGACGGTGACGGAGCAGGTGAGTGCAGCGCAGGTCGGGGTACCTGCACCAGAGGCTGACTGGGGAGAAACCTAGGGAATGCAGCATGCAGAACTTATAACTGGGGCCTTGGTGTCCACCTTGCCCCATGGAGTCATGGCTCTGCTTGTCCTTTTCCCCCAGGAGGATGGCTCTGTCACCATGGAGAATGGGGTGATTGCGGTCCGCCTGGATGCGATGGGCCGCCTGATTTCTCTTCGTCTGGCAGACTCTGAGAGGTCTGTCCCTCACCTGGTGCCTGGAACCAGGCTCCTCAAACTTTGCTTGGGCCTTTTTCTCTGTGTAAACCCTTCACAACTGCCAGATCTTAAGGTGGTGTTTCTCTGCTCCAGGGAGGCAGTTGCAGATGGCTGCTGTGCCAACCAGTTTGCTCTCTTTGATGACATTCCCCTGTACTGGGATGCCTGGGACGTGATGGATTACCACCTGGAAACCAGGTAGAGGAGCAGGGCATGCAGCACTTGGATTCTCCCTTTGCTTTGAGTTTCTTGCCTCCCCGTCAGTCTTAGCTGTAACAAAACCTCAACAGCTCTCCTGTTTCTGGGTATTCGCTCTGGAGAAGCCAGTGCCTGATTTGGGATCCTGGATCATCCTTGCGGGGACCAGCTCTGCCTTTACCCCTTTCTCTAGGAAGCCAGTGACAACGGTGCTGAAGCCTCTGGAAATCACCCTGGCAGGGGACCTGCGGGCAAGTGCAAGGTTCTCTCTGCGGGTCGGGAAAAGCAGCACCTTAACCCAGGAGATCATCCTGGATGCCGCGTGCCCGTATGTCCGCTTTGTGACCGAGGTATGGCCAGCAGCTGCTGCGTTAGGGACGTGTGGTGTGCAGGCAGGGCCCCGGGAAGCTGAACTGTGCTTCAGAATTATGTTTCCCCTCATTTCCTCCTCTGGAGCCTCCTGTTGCCTATGAGGACCCTGCATGAGGTCCCCCGAGGGACAGAATGGCATAGAGAGCATCGCTTTACCCATTTCCAGATTCCACTTCACCCATTTTCAGGCTCCAGGGCTGTTGTACAGTTTTTGGGCCTGGTTGGGAGCTGGCTGCTGTGCGCTGGGGGCGGATGAGCGCGGTCTCTGCCCGCCAGACCCCTCTGACCATGCCCTTCTGCTATGACATTTAGGTCGACTGGAAGGAATCCCACAAGTTCCTGAAGGTGGAGTTCCCCATGCAGGTCCGGAGCACGAATGCCACCTACGAGATCCAGTTTGGGCATGTGCAGCGGCCAACGCACTGGAACACATCGTGGGACTGGGCCCGATTCGAGGTGAGAGGAGAGGTTTATCTGCTCCCAGGGCCGGGCTGCGCCTCCTGCAGGGGGCTGCTCTTCCTCCCAGGCAGCAGCTTGGTGTGGCAGATCTGCCCCGTGGTGCCTCCTGCAGGTGTGGGCTCACAAGTGGATGGACCTCTCCGAGCACGGCTTTGGGGTGGCAGTGCTGAATGACAGCAAGTACGGGGCGTCAGCACGTGGGAACGTCCTCAGCCTCTCGCTGTGAGTGGGGCCGGGGCGGTGGTGGAGCTGCAGTGATCGCTTCGACTCCTGAGGTGTCCCTTTCAAATCAAGGCAGCGCCTGAATGATCGTAGTAAGCAAGGAAATAGTTTGGGATTAGCCAAAGTGGCCGTCTTCTAAAACCTTTTGGCTGACTTAATTCAAGTTGACTAAGAGAATGTAATTCCTTATGCTCATAGATAATTTCGTAGAGATCAGATCAGGTTTGCAGCAATTAATTTTTCCGTTGCTGGCCAAAACATGCCCCAGGAAGGGAGGCTTAAAGGAGGTGGAAGGAATGGTGACATTCCATATGCATGCAAACCTCAGAGAAACTCTGTGTTTCAGCTCGAGCTGCGAGTTTCATGGGAAACCATGAAAACCATGGGAAACCAACCCTCAGAGGTTGGTTTTAGTTTCTGGGACACCTTGTCCACAGTCCATTGCCAGAAATCAGCAGAAATCAGCTTCCACCTCTGGGCCTGGTCTCAGAGTAGCATAGAGAGGGGAGGCAGCTGTCTTGTCGTGGTGCTGCAGGCTGTGTGGCAGAGGAAGAGGACTGGGCGATGCCCATCTCCCCCTCCTCTCTTCCCTCAGGCTGAGAGCACCCAAGTCCCCTGACGCCACGGCTGATATCACACAGCACCGGTTCACGTACGCCGTGCTGCCTCACCAGGGTGAGTGCCGCAGCGAGCCTCGGGATGAGCGCAGGCTGTCCCGTCTGTGTGTCCATGGAGGCTGACCCGAGGTTCTGGTGCTGCAGGTTCCTTCCAGGATGCGGGTGTGATCCAGTGCGCTTACAACCTGAATTTCCCCCTCCACGCGGTCCCAGCCGGCCATGCCCAGTGCCCAGCCTGGAGTGCCTTTTCCGTGAGCTCACCTGCCGTTGTTCTGGAGACTGTCAAGCAGGCGAGTCCCGTGGGACGGAGTGGGGAGGCAGAGGGGATGCTTTGTTACCCAGCCTGGTTAAGCTGCACTTGTTCAGCATGGCTGGGATCCCCCTCGTTGGTGTGTCAGAGCAGCTCAGCCGTGACCACCTGCGTCTGGCTGTCCCCCGAGGTTCCCATCCCGTGGGGCTGAGTTTCTCTCTGTGCTGTGTCCCTGAAGGCTGAGGACAGGCCTGACGCGCTGGTGCTGCGGCTGTACGAGGCGCACGGCAGCACGGCTGTCACCTGGCTGCAGAGCTCCCTCCCCGTTCAGGAGGCAGTGCTGTAAGTCCTGCTGCAGGGCTGGGCGCGGGCGGATCTGTGGCTGTAGCTTCACCAGCTGCCTTCTTCCCCAGCTGTGACCTCCTGGAGCGGCCGCTTGCCAAGAAGCACCTGGTGCTGGAGCAGCAGGGCATGAGGCTTTCCTTCACCCCCTTCCAGGTGCTCTCCGTCCTCCTGGTTCTGAGGCAGTGAGGTCCTCAGTCCCATTTCTTTTGGGTGCCACAGCAACCTGGGCCAATGCTGGGAGCTCAACTCACAGCCCAAGGCTGCTGGGAGCCCTCTCCCTGGGTTGGGGACAAACAAGGACCGGGCCTTTTTACTGCCCCCAGTCCCGTGAGATTTCCCAAGAGCAGTTCCAGGGAAGAGCAGTCTTCCCCCCCCCTTGCCACCCCCACAAAGCTCAGGAAAAGAGCTCCATTTCCTCATGGAAGGAGCAGTAAATCTGTCCCCTGCCTAACCAGGGGGTTTGGGGAGCAGCAGCTTTCTGTGCTGGCTGTGTGTCGCAGCCATTGTCCTTTCCAGACCAAAGCAGCACCCAGCTGCAAGGCGGGAGCAAGTGTAAAAACACTATAGTTGTTCTTCTCCACAAATAAAAGGATTATGTAAAAATATGTTTCAACCTCTTACCTTATTTCCAGCTGCCTTTACTTCTCCTGTAGTGTCTCCCGCCCTGGGCTCACACTCTGGGGTGGGGGAGGCAGCACTTACCTGTTTTGGGGGTTGGGGGTAGAGTGGGGAGAGAGCCTGCTCCAGCCCATTGCAGGGAGGGGCTGGTACCAGCCCAAAAAAGGCAGGCACGGTGATTTCTTACCCAAACTACTTTTATTAAGCAGCTAAAAAAGGCTGGCTCAGGGATCCAGGGAGCAGTCAGAAAAAGATGAGGAAATACAGTTAGGGAGAAGAGTCAGAGTGACACAGCACCCAAAGTCTGTGGTCCTGAAGAACTGCTCCCCACACCCAAGCCAGAGCAGTGAGGTTTTAAACATGATTAAAAACCAAAAACCATCAGGGCAGGCACGCATCCTGCCCCCAGCCCTGAGGCTGTAACGGCCGTGCCTGAAGGCGGCCCTGGGGCCCAGGCAGTGCTACGCTGGAGGAGGAGGAGCTGGGAGGAAGGCAGCTTGTGGTGCTCACACTGCGGGGGCTGCACCTGGAAGGTGGGGAGGAAAACAAGAAAGGGAAGGGAAGGGTTGGTGCCACAGAGCCCTGCTGGCTCCTCTCCTGCCCTCGGTCGCCGTGGCACGCTGCTCACACACGCCTGTGCTAGTCCAGAACTCAGGGAATCACCGCCTCACCTGCGCCCTTGCGTGCAGACGCCCGGCGTCTTGTCGCTTTGACTGGAGCCTCAGGCTTGGGGGAGGCTGGAGCGGCTGCTGCTGCCCTCCTCGCACGGGCACGGCCCCTCCTTGGCGGGTCAGGCACTGCCTCCTCCTCCTCCTCTTCCTCCTTCTTCACGGCCGACGTTGCGGGGTTCTCTGCACGCCTGGAGCGCCGTTTGGAGGCGCGTGTGGTGACCTGGGCAGACAGAGCCAGGGCTTAGCAGCAGCAATGTGCACGTGTTGGAGGAACAGGAGGGTTCCTGCTCCACTCAGCCTGCTGGCAGCCTGGGAACTCCTGGGACAAGCCCCGCGGTGCCTGTGGGAGCAGCCTGAGGACCCAGGACAAGCTCTGGTCCCAGCAGGAGCCATGCCAGCCCCGAAGCATCCTACCTGAGCAGTCGGAGCATCAGGGTCTGCCTTCGGGCCAGCGCGCTTCTTGCGGGACTTCTGACCTGCATGGGAAGATGTGGTTGGGGTTGGGGTGAGGGGAGAGGAGGCCGTGACCGTTCAGGCAATGGGGGCTGTAGGAAGGACTCAGGGGGGCTCCCTCTCCCGTCCTACCACTCTCTGGTGAGAGCAGGATGTGGCTGCAGGGCTGGAAAAGCACCCAGTGGGTGCTGGGAGGAAGCAAGGGGCACGGCGGGCTGCATCCCCCAGTGCCACAGGCCTGAGTGCCCCAACAACTGCAGCAGTTGCCTCCCCAGCAGGGCCTGTGAGTGGTTCTCTTCCTCCTCCAGCCCTCCCAGAGCAGGAGCAGGTCCCGTGGGGAGCAGAGGGCACTCACCTCCGGGAACCATGGGGCCAGGCTCGCCCTGCAAGGAAGGGGACAGAGCAGTGACCGGGCTGCCATCGCTCCCCAGGCACCTCCAGCACAGCGGGCTGCTGGAAAGGGAGCTTCCCGGTGACACAGCACCACGCGGGGGGTCACAAGAAGCAGCAGCCGAGCTGGTGTCCCCCTGAGGGAGTGGTAGGGGTGCCCAGCCCCAGGCAGAGACCCCCAGCCCACCTGGAACCATATGGTCCTGCCATTGTGGTCGCGCAGGGAGCTCATGCCAGGCACCCCGTAACACTGCAGCCAGTTCTTGAAGGCGGTGTGGTTGTCTGCGTGGTCTGGGTCAAGGAGGTTTTTCTCTGGGAAGGGAGAGAGGAAAAGGGGCAGAGAAACAGAGCTGGGGAGGGAGCTCTGCCCTGCCAGCGCCCAGCCCAGGCCCTGCCAGCCGTCCCCGGCCCCCAGCTCCCAGCCCTGCAGCCTCACCCGCTGCCACGACCTCCATGGGCACCGTGTGGCACAGCTCCAGGAGATCCGGGTTATCCCGCTTCAGCTTCAGCTTCTTACTTGGCGGCAGGGAAGAATTCTGCAGGGGCAGAGAAGGGAAGTCACCTGGCAGCTACCTCAGCCTCACTGGGCATCTCGTCACCCCCCAAATACCCATCTCCCCTCGCCCCCTGAGGAGGAGCTGCCAAGCCCCACCAGGACAGGAAATTGGGGCAGCACACAGGAGCACCAGCAGTTTGTGAAAACAACCCTCAGGACGTGTTCCTTTTTGTTTGTTTGTTTGTTTTGTTTTCAGGCTTTCTTAAAGCAGCCACCCCCCTCTACCCTAAATCAATGAGATTAAGCTCTACTGCAGCCTCCCCCCGACGTTTTAAGCTTCTGTTTGTTTTTCTTACCCCTTCCTCTTTACCCTCTCTCAACCAAACACACAAGATGCTCCCTGAAGGCACGGGTGCAGCTGAGCATGAGCACAGCACGGAGGCACACGGCCAGGGAGCTGCCACGGCCTGGTGGCACGGCCAGGTGAGGTTACGGAAGGGCTGTGCACATTTGCCGCTCCACTGGAGGGGCAGGCGTGCTCAGACACGGGGGTTTGTGGCAGGAGACAACACCAAGCTGGCTGGGAGAGCTCCCATGCAGCAAGAAGTGTAGTTGTGAAGGGAAAACGCCAGCTGTCAGGATGGGAAAGGGCTCAGGGGTTGTCAGGCAGCAGAAAGGGTTCAGTGACTGCAGTGAGTCCACCCCCAAGCCTGTCCACACTGTCCCCCAAAAGCAAACACCTCCTGCCAGCAGTGCGGGCAGAGGAGGGCTGTGTGAACGCTGCAGGGGTTCTGCCCCATCAGAGCGGGGAGCCAACCGTGAACCGGAACCAGCCCGAACCCTGGGCCATGTCAGCAGAGCTGAAGCAGAGCTTTGCGCCCCGCTGAGCACAAAGCAGGACCAGAGTTTCACACCCAGCTGAGCCAGGGTCTAGAAGCAGCCTGAGCCCCGTTTTGGCCACGCTGCTGAGCCCAAACCCCTCAGTGATGTTTCTCAGCTCAGTGTGGCTCCCTGCACAGAAGGCAAGAGGCTCCCAGGACTGAGCCTGGCAGACCAGAGCAATGCCGAGCTGTGAAAACACCGCCTGTTCCCACCTATTCCCCACCTTTTTCCTCCTCTCCTGCTCCTGCTGCTTCAGGGCTTCCAGCACTGTCCGAGCCTTTTCAAAGGGAGGGATCTTCAACCTGAGAGAGTCCACCCGTCACAAGCCTGACCTCTCATTTCTGACACAGCTTAGCACGGGAGGCAAAGGCACTCAGGTTTGGCCTTGGAAGAGGCTGGACACGGTGTGGTTTCAGCTCAGCAAAAAGCCTTATTATGAAATGCACCTCACCTGTACAGGATCTCAGCACGGAGGTAGTTGCCGATCCCATTGAAGTACTTCTGGTTCAAGAGGGCCTCGCAGATGGGCTTGTCAAAAGCTTTGTCGTCCAGGTTCTTCAGCACATTCTCCCTGCAACAGAGCACGAGTATCAGGCTGGTGCACTGGGACACAGCTGTGCTACTGCCACCAAGGGCAGAAGACCTGCACGCAGCCTCCACAAAGCAACCAAAACTGTCCTTGAGTAAGGGGCAAAGTAGCAACGTGAAGAATCCTAGAACCACTGAGGTCAGAAAAGCCCTCCAAGCTCATCTGGTCCAACCACCCCCCTACCACCAGTGTCACCCACTAACCCATGTCTCTAAGCACCACGTCCAACCTTGCCTTGAACACCCCCAGGAACGGTGACCCCACCACCTCCCTGGGTAACCTGTCCCAATGCCTGACCACTCTTGTGAGCCCAGGGAAGAGGAAGCCCAGCACAGGTGCCCTGTGTCCCCCCACACAAGGGAAGTGCTCTGGTAGGGAGTGGATTCAGCTCAACCCTGCGCACTGCTGCTCCTCCAGCCCGGGGCTTCAAAGGTGGGGACCGAGGCAGCGAGCGGAGCCTTGTGAGCTGCCAGAAGGCGCAGGGAGAAGCCATGGGAAGGGCTCCCTGCCACTGCCGTGTCAGGCATTGAAGTGGCAAGCGCTGCACGACCACGGCAGCACCTCGAGACACCCTGACGCTGCTCGTGAGGGGCACGGACACCACCCCACCCCCTCCCCGCACCCCTCCCGTCCCCCCCTTCCCCCCCCACCTGAAGGCCTGGTACTCGGACAGCACGCAGGGCCCGCGGCCGGGCTGCCAGGCATCACCCAGGCGCCAGGAGCCGAAGCGGCGAGCGTCGACGAAGCAGAGGGCGCGCGGGGGGCTCTCGCGGGTGAGGAAGCGCAGGTGAGCGTGGCGGGGCGGCGAGGCGGCGGGGCGCAGCCGGAATCCCCCGGACATGCCGAAGCGGAAGACGAGGGCCTGCGGGCTGCCGGGGCCCAGCGGCTCCAGGCGCAGCCGCAGCTCCTTGCCGCGGGCGGCGGCGCCCAGGCGGTAGGCCTCGCTGCGGAACGGCACCTCCGGGCCGCGGCCCACGGCCGAGCGCTCGGCCCCGCCGCTGAACACCAGCCCGCCGCACGCCTCGTTGATGTAGCGCCCGGCCAGGGCCAGCTCCGGGCCCTCGGGCATCGCGATACTCGCGACACGGCCGCAGCGCCGCGACCGGGCCCCGACTGGGCCGCGACCCTGAGGCGTTGCCTAGCGACACGCCCCCGGAAGGGCGGGGCCTCCGCCGTTGCCTAGCAACGCGCCCCGAGGGGCGGGGCTCCTCCCCCGTTGCCTAGCAACGCGCCCCCCACCCGCTGCACGTCGCTCAGAGGGGGCTCCCCGCCCTCCCGCCCCGTTGCCTAGCGACGCGCGCCGCTCGCCCCCCATTGGCCGCGCGCCGCCCCGCGGCACGCCGGGAGTTGTAGTCCCCGTGGCCGCGCGTTGCCATGGAGACGGCGCTGTGAGGCCTGGGGGTCCCGCAGGCCCCGCGGCCTCCCCGGGCACAAGGGGCGGGCACAGCTCGGGCTCGGCTCCAGCCTTTATTGGGGGGGGCTCGGTGGGTGGGAAGGCGGCGGTGG